TATTCATCTATGTAGTATATTATGTAAAACCTTATTTACTACAGTTATCTCAAACTTTATCCGAGGAATATAATGTTTCACTGAATGTTTCCAGCGTACTAACTGTAGCGTTATGCAGTATTTTGCGTTGTGTACTTCCATTGAAATCTCGTACACCTTTTTATTATTTGTTTTTATTATGTAGGTATTTGTTTGGGTCAAATTTGACAATTGTATTTTTATTCTCTTTCTGATGACAGATCGATTTGATATTTGGGGCACTATCTTAATCTTGATGACAACAACTTCCATTATGTATATGAAAAAAAAAAGGCTTTAATTGGTAGAATATTGCACAGTTAGCGCGGTGGCTGGGCGAGCGGCTGCTGCGAAACGTCCAGCGGGTTCGATTCCCATGCGGAGTAACTCTTTGTGTGTTCCACAAATTGTTGTTTCGGGTCTGGGTGTCATATGTATGTGAACTTGTATGTTTGTAAACGCACCCACGACACAGGAGGAAATCCTAGTGCGTGTTTTTTTTAAAAAATAAACAAGAATTGATTAGAATTGTTTAACATAAAAAACACTTTTATGTATGACTTGTTTAACATTAAAACTTACGTTAAGCTTACTTCGTTGTTCCTGATACTAGGATAGAATTATCAAACTACTCTTAAAAGCTGAATCTTCATTTATCTACTGTTATTCCATCACTGAAAAGAAACTTTGATACCGAAACTTAACTTCAACTCATTATTAACTAACTACAAACTCCTTTAACTATATATATATACTCGAAGTGATATTTTCTGCTTTAGAATTTGAAATGGAAAAATATGAAAGATATAGTTTTCCCATATATGATTGCTTACATATAGACTTGTGAGACCGACATATAAATAGTTCGATGATTGTGCGATCGTACGTTTGAGGCACTGCGTCGCGTGATTCGTGTGCCGTGCATGTCACAAGGGAACCCCGGCGTGGCTCGAAATACCATTTGATTTATTTCCATATCGTACTATTTGACTGCAACTGTTTATTGTTAGTATTACAACGTAAATTTTAAACAAATACTTTCGCGCTGCTAAGTCGTTTTGCCTAGGTTTATATATATTTATCTTCGTTATTTATATCTCTGATATTAGGTTACGAAATGTTAAAAAATCAAATCATAGTTACCTCAAACTTTCAACAAGCATGATGGACGAGTATTTGGCCTGGTCGTTAGGTCGTTGCCCCACGCTTATCAATCAGCTCATATTACGTGCGAAAGGGTAAATTCAGTGTTTATGAAAAACGCTACGAACTTACTTAGATTTTCTTTTAATATTAAGTCTGTATTTCGATAGTTCTACCGACTCGAGGGCAAATAGTGTTCCGCGACAGCAGTTATTTAAAATTCATGCTGTATTGATTTTGAAATAGTTTTTTTGTAAATTTTATTGTTACTTTTTTGTTATAACAAATCTATTATTTTTATGTGACTTTGTAACACTGAGTTAGTAAGTTGTCAAATCAGATTAAAGCCAATATATTGTCCTTAGAAATTCTTGTAAATTACTTAAGCCTTTAATTAATTAATGATTATACAAGTGAATGTACTATTGTCCTGAAGATACTCGCTCTTTATTCGTTGAGTTTGAGTTAAGGAGCGAGACATTTAGAGGTACTTAATTATTTCGACATTTCTTGGTATGAGAGTAATATAATGTATAGAAAATGCTGCAATGAAATATTATGAACTATAACTTAGAACACAGACACATGGGAGGAAATATTTTACTATGTAGTTTCTATGTAAGTGACTTAGGTAAGGTTAAATTGACAATAAACAAACCGATTGATGCGTTAATTACTCAAGATTGTGTGGTTACGAGCTACTCTAACCACTAGCCGCTATCACTTTGATTGTGGTGGATAACCAACACCAACATTGGTGAGTGTCTGTGTAAGCTCGTGTGCCCTTAATTGGCGATTAATAGAAGCTGGGCGAAAATGACCGATATTGGAACTTAATTATCTGCACAATATACCCTCTGGTTTTGAGATAAATTTAGGTACAAATTGTATTGATTTGAAATCTTCTGAGTCTTGACCTTGAGTAGCGATAAGTTCTCCTTTGTTCTTCGTGTGAGGAGACGTTTGCCCAGTAGTATGAACGTTAGATATAGGTTTCAGGTCGCCGAAGAGAATGGTGATTGCTGAAGACAAGCTAATAGAGATAATTTTAGTGGTGTTTTATCATCACGGCGATTCCGATTACGTATGGTGGACTCATTATGCAGGCTTTAAAAACAGAGATCTGATTTTTATACTCTCAAATGCTGACGAAAGAGTACCTATAGTCCATCTGTTTAGGTAATTAACTAAAGGTAAACAAACAAAACCACGTGACACAGAGATACTTAACCTTCTATTACTTCAAATATTTCTCGTGTTTTAATTTAAACTGAATTCACTTTAACATCGTTCATTTGTCACACACACACGTATACAAGCACAAATGCCTAAATCGTACAAGAGCCTAGCCTATGGGTCTATTTCATTATCATGTTTAAATAGAAACTATTCTGAATCTGATGTACGGATTTCTTTCTTGTACGGATATGTGTCTTTGGGCCAAGTTTCTTCAATATATTTGAACACATTAATTACAAACGATGAATAACCTAAACTTAAATAACGTAATAACAAAAACAAGATAAATTCAACAAAATAGGAACGCGAGCGCAAACGACGAGAGAGCTGTCAATGGCGCCTGATTAACCGACTAAACGTAATACATGCTACTTTCATTGTCGCGCTACATTTTAATTGGACTCTTTAATTTGACAACATTATCTAATGCTTCGTTCATAAAGAAAGGTTTTGGATACCTGGGATTTTAGGCTCTTTTTGGTGTCTATTGTAATGAAATATTATATTATTTAATAAAAAATGTTATTAAATTATTATGCTCAAGCAGATATATATAATATTTACTAAGAAATAAGTGAAAAGGAACAGAATCATAACATTTAATAGAGAAAACTGTCGTAAAAATGGAAACAATTTTATTTTCTTATGAAGTATTTTGAGTCATGGAAATGTCAACTGTAAAGAACTCTTTTTATGGTTTGTTTACAAATAGTTAACTACCTAAACAGACGGAGTATATGTTTGTACGAACATTATCTTAAACGTAGTCTAGATTCCAGTATTCGTGAAATGTTTCTCTAATTTTAAATACGAACATAAACGTATACAACAGTAATAATTCCAAACACATTTCTATTATGCAATAACTCGAAAATATAATAAGCCCATCCCTCAAACTGAACCGTCGGTCGTATTAAATAAACAAAGTGAATAACATCATTACAAAAATGTAGAAAGCAAAGTTTAAAGAACACTAATGAACCGATTGTGAATATATGTTTAAATAAATAAAACTAATTTGTTAATCTAACATCCGACGCTCGCCGTCGATACGTTGAAACGATTACAGAGGGCCGCGTGCTAGCCTGTGACAGCTACATTTACTTCATGCCAGTATAGGGTCAAACGTCTATGTATTTTCTCGAATGCAATACGATTAATCTATGATATATCTAACTATGCATTTTCTAAAAACTTAAACGATATTTATCTTGAAAGATTAACGATACTGTTTTTGTATTTAATGCCGGAATATTGAAATGTTACTCAATTTTAAGTCGTGCTTAAATATCATGCCATTTCTGTCATTTCACAAAGAATTTGTCAAGACAGAACTATACTTAACCGTGACTTAAAATTGAGTAACATTTCAGTATTCGGGCATAAGAGATGTTCATTTGAAACTTCAGAATTATTATCGGATACTAATAATGTTATAATACAGACTAAAATCAACTACCTATGTTTACCCTTAAAATACAACTAAACAAACAGATAAAGTTTATAATAGAATCACTGTTTCAATAGAACAAAACTAGCTCAGGAAAGTTCGTAATATTATAATAGTGCATTGATCAAGTACAGGTTCAACATCATTCTATTGTTTTAGTCTCACAGTCTCCCGGGACCATCCGACAGAGCCGGAGAGAGTTTAGAAACGAGTATCACTTGTTTCAAGACCCTGGAGACGTTTGTTTACAACTCGGTAGAAATGTAGGAATCCGTGTACTATGAAGCTCAGCTTAGGGATTTGTGAATAGTATTCAAATTACTCTTCGTCAACGGTCTTTATAGCCTATATATATGTATATCCGTTTTAATATTATGCTTATGTTTTATAACATAACATAACGCCTTTCTATCCCCGACAGGGTGGGGAGAGGTGCACATTACGGCACTTAATGCCACTGTACAATGTAACTTTTCACTATTTATGTTATGAGTCCCATGTAATAGGGGATGAGCCTATTGCCATATACCGGGCACATTTCCAGACTCCGTGCTACTACTGAGATTTTTTAAAACCAAGTAGTTTTATATTGTATTAATTTATTACTTTTAAGCAAGATTTGAAAAACAAATGTTATTTCGTGTTTTTAATGGTTGTTGGTTGAAATGAAATGATATTTATTTCTGCAAATGGGTTACACATGAACACTTTTACACACATGTGTAATGGGTTTCGCAACATAAATAAAGTGAATCTTTTAACGACTTCAGTTCTTATTAAATTCCTACCTTAAAGTAGAAAGACATAGAGCTATGACAGCTATTATAAATAAATAAATATTGCTAAAGTAATTATATCTACATTGATTAAAATATCTTCATTTATAAAACAGAGATACACAATTATTTTCCATTGAAGTACTGAGTTTGTTGAACGAGAGTAATAAACTGCAAAGAGATAAAAACTGCAAATGTATCTAGGAAATCATTTCCGTCTATTTAGAGATTGAATCTAAAGAGCTTCCTTCAGTATCCGTTCAGGCGAAAGCAATCGAAAAGTATATTTTAATTCCATTTCAAAAGATGATGAAGTGGCTTTGATTTTTATCTTTTTTGCTGCATTTTTCGCTGTAAATGGAGATAATTTGCAGGTCAAACGTGACATGGTCGCCATCAAGCAAGAGTTGGACACGGTGCAGCAAGTGAAGGAGGAAATCGAAGAGTTGCGTGAATACGTCGACCGACTCGAGGAACACTCGCAGCGAAGGAAACTCAGACTGCTTGAACAGGTACGAAACAAAAGGATCATGAACCAAACACATACAACTGCGTATCCCTACAGACTATAGACAGTGTATGTTGCGAGACCAACTCCGGCCGCTTGACTCTCAAGTACCTATAAATGAGGTTTCTTTTAAGGAAATAAAGCAATCGCTCTCGGCTTTCGAGCCACAAAGTTACAAGCTGCAGCAAAACTCAACGTCTTAGATAAACGAGGTTAAGCGAGCCAAACGATAGTTTCACAAAACATTAGTCTTTAGCGGGTACGCAGTCATTACCGACATGTTATTAGTTTCAAATTATATTTTATAGTAAAAGCCCTGAAAGATACTTCTATAATAAAGTAGATTAAGCTTAGGCTTTTATTTAGTTAGGCCGGCCTCAGCAAAGAATGACAATAGCTTTTAAAGCAGATCAAATAAATTAGCAAAAAAGACGAGGGAAGACAAGGACAAAGAAGTAAGGCTGCGCGACCAGGTACTTAGTTATAATTGAAAAATAATTACTTTATTATGTACTTAGTTATTAGGATACATTTTCCTTTTTAATGTATTAAATAAATTTTATTTTCATTATTTTAGAACTGTACAATGGCTTACTCTTTACTTTAATCATGCATGAATATTTTACTAACATTAATAATGGAAGACACACGGTTAAGGCCAAGAAGGAAGGAATGGTAATGATAGGATGAGAAAGGATGGAAACGTAATGTTCGGAGGGAGGAACTTCAAGGCTATAAGGCGGTCAGGGCGTTAGCAGAGGTAGGTAACTCATGATGAATTGGATACCAACAGGTTCAAGACATCAGAAGAGCAGCAAAGTACGCCACTACTAGTTGCCTGAAAGTAGACCCACCAGCAGTAAGTGAGGTCATGATGTTCTACACATATAATAGATGCAAGACATCGTGTAGAATACACAAGGTTCCAAAGCCGAAGACAGTTCGCAAAAGCTGTTTTCCGTTGAAGGTTGGTATCGCAGTCTTGTAGAACCAACATGTTCAGATCAAACAAGTCTTCAGATATCAGGAGTTTGTTACATAATTCAAAGCAATTGCTTCTGAAATTAAAATTGGCGTAAAATTAATCATTGCACCCGTCAAAAACTGTACAAATCATTATGAGATATAAAACAGTATGAATCATCATTCATTACAATTCCGTCCATCCGCATAAGTTTGACTGAGCACGTGGAGTGAGGTGTCGTAGAACGTGCATACTATAACGTGATTAACCAAACACGAGGCTCCAACGCAATCAGTTTCCTCAAATCGTATAAAAACGTGTCTCCCATTTTTCCAACAAATAGTTTATTTTAATATTCAAACAAGTTACAAGGAAAAGAGAGAAGTCTATTTCAGTTTATGTAATTATTCTTTGCTTCACGACCGAAGGCAATTAGATTTTTCCCCAACGCTTTTTTGTACAGTCCTGTCAATATTTATTTTGTAGACAGTAATAGGTATTGCCAGTCCACTTAAGACTGACAATTTGTCTTAATAACTACATATTTTATTGAAATGTAGAATTTCCATTATTTTCTAAGCTTTGAAAGTATTTTAGTGCTTTTTTATTAGTTTATTACCTGTAGAGTGATTGGAAAAATTTACAACTGTTTGATGAGTGGGCTACTTCTGATTATTGTACTTGGTATTACTGGTATATATGCAACAAGAATTGTTGAGATTGATTCACCTAACCTTTCAACTTAGAGTAAGTATCCACGGTGCGTCAATTGACGAATACATGCAGCCTTCACCAACAATAGGCGGGTTTAACTTTGCCGCTTCGTTATTGTTTTTAAGCAAGATGCAAGCATTTGTCATTTGTAGGCCGTCTATTGTCTGTGAAAGATGCACGCATTCGTCAAATGACGCAACGTGGACAATGTACCTTACTCATCAAACAGTTCGAGGTAACAGTTGTCGTCCCCTGTGTTTGTCTGTAACTGTATATATTTCCTTTATGTTTTGTGTTCGTGTATTCATGACAATTGTAATTTTATAAGTTGATGACTTTGTCGTTATGCTTAGTATTATCAGATGTACATAATTATGTATTACGAGTGACTTTTTCAAAATTGGCTTTTCTCGCAGAATGTGTTAATGTGTTCATCAAACTACACCTGTGTGTTATGTTTGTGTGTTATGAAATTTGTTTGTTCCAGGGCCTTACCTTCTTCCTGTCGTACGCAATCCTCGCTGCGGTGCTGGGTATGCTGCAATTTGGGTACAACACTGGTGTCATCAACGCTCCTGGCAAGGTGAGATGCTTTTTTATTCGATGTACCGACGTATCTTGTTGTTCTGCAATTACTTGACACTACAGAAGTATCCTGCACTGAATAACGTATCTCTCGTAAGCTTAAATGAATACATTTTTTAAATAATGAACATCAACGTAACGTCAAACACGCTTGAACTTACCCTAACAAACCACGCAGGCAGAGTTACGTTGAGAAATCATAAAGTGAAAATAAATCAGAATTCTAATAACTGCTTCTTCTAGCGAAGAAGTCTAGAAACTTTCCTTTCTCAAGTTATCTTGAAACCAACAACAAAAACAGTTCAGACCAACTAAGAAAGCCGCAGCCTTCATTATTTTCAAGCACTGATATTGTATGGGTATCATCTCAATACAGCGAACTGCATTTCTCCGATATCGTTCATTAAAATTTCAATTGAAATGCAAAATTCAATGAAAGATCGAGAAATTGAAAACATCTAGTGAAGAAATAAGGAGAAGAATCGTTGCATCCGAATCATTTAACTTGATAAGTGAGGAACTGGAAAGTCGATTAAGTAATGAAACAGCCGTCCACGGGTAGGACTAAACAAGTTTGCCGAAGCGATGTGCCGACATTGGATTCACCGGCTTGTAAAGTAAATGCACACAAACTCGACGACGGGCGACGATGCAACCGTCGAGTTACTTAAAGAGCCGGTAAATCAATTAGAGAAACCGTCTCGATAGCAAACACAAGTTATTGAACTATCTGAAAGGAAACGTCCAGGTGTACGCTGCAGGTTTATTGGAGTTAAATCGAGTGATAATTTGTTGACAGGAATAGTCTGTTGAAGCACCGTTTCACTGGACGATTGCTTTCCAGTTCAGGTGTTGGGTTTTCTAATTGATTCCGTATCAAACTACATTACATTCTAATGAGGTGTAATGGATTGATAGCGTTAAGTACAAAGTTTTGAATATTAGATTTACGCTTTTCCGCAGGGATGGTGCGATTGAAATGTTTGATTCTGTGTCGTATTTCAAAATTCCAAATAACTTTGTACTCTATCTATTCAACGGAAGTTACTGTTTAATCGTTTTCGGCAAGATAATACAAACCCGTTTTATCAGAAGCCTAATTCGGTCAAACACGACAACATACGCTAGGTACATTTGGTTACCTAGAACACAAATTGGGTAAAGATAAACACTTAGTTCAAACAATTCATGGAAGCTTGGCTCACAGGCATAAACCGTAGAGTAATATGTTGCCATTGCTATATTGGGAACCAATTAACTGATTACCAGTTAAAGGAAACTCCATTGACCTGAATGCTTGATTAAGATGTTGAGATGCAGAACTGCGTGCGACAGCCGAGTATAATGTGTCTTAGTGTATTATAGCTATTGTAATAGAGATAAAATTGTGTAATCTATTGTATTCTAATGAACATTGGTAATGAAATATATTATTTTTTTATAATAAATATGCACTACTCGATCAGCAGATCGAGTGGCATCGCATAGCAGATCGAGCCGTAAGTGTAACTATCGAACAATGTATTTAGGACACAAAGTGTTATGGGACTCTTTATTCCATATAGTACCACTACTCCCTTTACAATGTAACTGTATGTGCATTTATGTCTTCTACTTTGGAAGACGTTATATCTCACTGAATTGTTTTCTTTGTACCAAATCAGAACATCGCAAACTTCATGAAGGATGTATACAAGAACCGATATGGCATGGACCTCCAAGACGACACGGTGAACAGGCTTTACTCTATAGCAGTCAGTATCTTTGCTATTGGTGGTATGCTGGGCGGATTCTCGGGTGGCATGATCGCGAACAGATTTGGAAGGTAAGTGGAACCATTGCTTGAGAAAAGAATTATACCTTTTACGCTTGAAAAAAGACTTCCAGAGTAAAGTGTCGATATATTCGATAGAAGTAGATGGATGATAAATACGAAACTGGGTACGCCTATCTATATGCAGGAGGGGTGAACCTGCTATGAAAGACAGGCGTTATTTTTTAAATTATTAACTGCGTGCGGGGTATTAATAAGCTCGGGGCGTAAGATAAGCTCCAGGAAATTAACCAGATCAGTAACTCAACGTGCATGTTTCCTGACACTGATTTTTAAACAAAAGTGTATCTGACAGGAACTGATGATGCCTTATGCCCGGGCCACACCAACGATAAATGCCATTGCTTATCGCGATAATGTACGTTCACCGTAGGTGTAGCCACGAGTCAACGCGATAGATTGACAACGGCATTCACATTGTCGATTGGCATGACGGGTATTCACGTTGAAATTTCAAGTGTAGCCACCCACTATAACGCGTTAAAATTATCGCAATAATTATCGTAGTAAACATCGCGATACTCGGCATTGACGTTGACGTTAGTGTGGCAATATATATTCAATGGATTTTTTCCTGTGTTACTCGTACACCAATCTTACACTGACCATCTTTCAAATATCAAAAACATTAATTGAAGATGGTAATCAAATTACGTTTTATCCGACTTAGAAACAAATTTGGTATACCCTTACACGTAATTCTACGTTTTGAGAGATATTACAGTAGGTATCATAACTGAATAATAGCTCAGTTCGGTTTCAGGAAAGTTCGTCATAAATTATTACTAAATTCAAGTTAATATTATTATTCATACTTGAAATATGAACATCTTCTTGTACACTTGGTAAGAAAAATATTATTATACGAGTATTAAAACAAGCATTATGATAAAGTAGGTGCAAAAGTTTTAGTTTGAACTTGCTACCATTTTGTGGTAAGCTTTGAAACTTAAACAAGCTCGAACTCTCAGAAAAAACATTTGAGTTGAGTTTGAATTATAACAAATTATTTCGTTTTATCTATTGTATAAAGTTATACTCACGACTTTGTACGTCGTATGCACTGAGAGACAGGCAGAGATAGAAAAGAGAGAAGAGAAGAAACGAGTGAGGAAAACTATTTCGAAATTCTTTTACTGTATCCCTCAAAGATCTGTCTAAATAAGTATGCCGAATATTAGCTTTCAAAATCGTAGTTCTGATTATGCGTCATCTATCAATCTTTTATATACAAGCAATAGTAAAGTTTCCAATACATTGATTGATTATATTATTACTATTTCTTGAACAAACTTATTTATTCTGCATAGTTTCATGTTGCCTCAAGTCCAACTATTCTATTCCAGTTCCAACTCATAGCAAACCATCAACCAGTAAAGGCACAAACTGAAGTGCCGCGCTATAAAAAAAATTACATAGTTACAATTTGGCGATAATTTTATCGCGCGTTAAAAATCCGTACGGTTGGCCTAATACGTCTGAGTAATGAAAGTGCACAGTGACGTCACTGTTCACTAGTAATGACAGCGCATTGTTTACCTTTGATCGTTTGCCCGTAAGACCGTATGACGGTGGCCAATCATAATAATGGCAGCGTTGTTCCTGTCCAGAACACAACGGTAGCTAAGTAATTGTTTCTATATAAAAGTGAGAAGCCGCGAAAACCAATCTTTAAAGAAGTTTCTAGATAAAATATGATCTTATAGCAATTTCATATAAAAATACTCTATTGTGTATTGTGGTTCGTAATGAATTGTGTACTATAATTACTGTCTACTTTTACAATAGTTACAGGTGTTATGATATTTATGTTATTTCTCCATGAAGATTTCTTGAACCTGAAAATGTTCTATAGCAAAGAATAAGATAGAAGCTACATAGTCCCTCTTTAAAAATAATATTATTCTCAATGATTGATCACATTTTGTTTGTACTAGGAAAGGGGGCTTACTACTAAACAACATTCTCGGGATCAGCGGCGCGAGTCTGATGGGGTTCACGAAAATATCACACTGCTACGAACTCCTCATATTCGGCAGGTTCATCATAGGAGTCAATTGTGGTAAGCGTATTCTACAGATTACAATAAGGAACACCAGATTTAGTGGCCAAAGACATAATAGACACCTTAACAAATGAAATACGAACATCGAAGGTAAAGAATCGGTGTCTGAAGAAACTCCTTCCTGTTTGGTGGTTCATTTAAAAGGTGACTAATATGGCGCCATAAATGGCCGCTGTGATGTGAGACAACCAATTCCGGTTACCCCAAATAACTTGATGTAATAGACATTACGCAGTCAAATTCATCATGAGATCTGTTGCTGTTTAAGTCACTTATAATTATCCGCCGCCGGTCATAGCCTAAAAATAATAATCGTTCACTCACGAACAGTTACGTGAGTGAGCTTCATAATTCAGGTAATTTAGTATGTTCCACGATATTACATCTTATTATGGTATACAACATCTATAAGAAATATCTCTATAAATAGAATACAATAAAAGTCTCAGCCATATTCAAAATTTGAGTCTAAATAAATTTAAAAATAAAAGACAAACTTAATAGTAAAACATTTTATAAATGAAAATACTACCTAAATGATACTTAGGCTTAGGAATGAGCTGCTGTAACATCCACACAGATCATGTTGACAAGTTTGTAACATACAGTTACATTTTTATACAATTTGTCATCAATTTATGTACTTTGACATTATTTTTTATTAAATTATTTTCTTATGTTGGTTATATGTTAAAAGTTTCTTTTACAGTTGGTAGTGAAAGGACCGTGTGAGACTTTGCATAGTTATTTCACTTTTACCTAATTCATTACAGTCAGACAGTTTGAGCATTTGTGTGGACTACCCAAATGTTCTTTTGGTTGGTATTGTTAGTCATATCAGGATCATTCAGCAACATCCGTTAGTTGAGTTGATTAGAAACTGACACATGCATCATGCTACTATCAGAACAGGTCCGCTCAAACTGTTGTGGATCTTTCCCCAAAAGACTACTACAGAATCAACTTGCAAGGTTCTCGCACATTATATAAACTGTCTGGACTTTAAAAGAGACAATGACCCCTGAGTTTGTTTCGGCATTTCTTCTCCAAGTACTCAATTAGGAAATAACGGCCATGAACTAGTAATTTGAACAGTGTTACTTGGTAACCTATTGGCAGAAATAAATATCATTCATCATTTACAGTACTATTTCTGTTTTCTTTCACTTCCTACATATGTACATATTTTTCAAAACATAATTTCAAAGTTCGTGCATATCTCGTATCGAAGTGCAGGAACTTTAACAAGGATGTGCTCGTAATATCGAATGCCATCCATTTCGAAAGCATACCAACCGAAGCGTATTGTACAACATATTTCTATTTGAAATCCAAGATCTTTCCACTCGAAGCTTTAGAAAGTTGGAATCTCGGTTCCGTTGAAAATTGATGGGAATAATGGCGATACGAGTAGATATTGTGTATTATTTGAATGATGAAAAGGAATATGCAAAGATTTGAATGCGAATGAAGATGGTTTTTGTTGCAGTCTCAGGTTTTCTTAATATGTAGTCACACCCAGAAAATTATGTTAGTTAAGACTAATGTTTACATATTTGTATTTACTTTCGAATAATTTAAACAAATCACTTGTTATAACCAGCCTGCCGACCGACCGATTGCAATTTTATAGCGATTGCAAGTTGTAAAAACACGACTTCAAATTACTGTATTGTAATTTTATTGTATTATGTTGTTGTAATATTGTGTCTATTGTCCTAGGGTTAAACACATCATTAGTGCCAATGTACATATCGGAGATAGCTCCTCTAAACTTGCGTGGTGGTTTGGGCACGGTCAACCAGCTGGCCGTCACCGTGGGACTACTACTTTCACAAGTCCTGGGCATCGAACAGATCCTCGGTACCGACGAAGGATGGCCTATCTTACTTGGTAAGTACCTCTTTTTATATCACTTGTGTTATCAACAAAATGCTAGACTCGTCTGATGGTAAGCGATCTCCGCAACCTATGTACACATGCAACACTAAAGGAATAACAAACGAGCGATAGATGAAACAGTTTAGTTGCACCATCATTTCCGAGAATGGAACATTCATTTGGAGGTATTTGGACAAAGTACATACAAAGTTATAGTAAACATATATAAGTAGTAACAATTTTGGAATTGAAAGGCTCACTAGCACTTTGCTCGACCCAAGAACACTGGTTTCACGACTTTGTCCGGTGGCACTTGTGAGCACTTATACAAATAGTAATTTCTTAAGTGTGTGCTAAAAGACTCAGTGGCATGGTATTGAAAAGGTCTATCTAAAACAGTAGACTGAAATTACATAGTTTATGATGGTTGCTGAAACTCATTATAACATAATTTTATTCATAGTCTAGCGCAAAGAACGTAACATTAGTTCATTTCTCCAATCAAATACATTTCCTTCGTTAAATGTCAAAAACATCCATTCAATACGACTTCAACGCTCAACGAAAATGCATTACATCGCGATGAGAATAAAGTTCAACTTGTAAAAGCAATGATAAATAAACGCCCATAAAGGAAAATGCCATCCAATAATATTACAGATAAAATATTCAACACTATCTATTACGGAAATGCACGTCATACAAAGTTCTTATTGGACAGCTAAAGATACAAACGTAAACCGGACGTGTAATACTAGAGTTGCATGTAGTGACCTAGAGGCGGGCCGGTGCCGCGGTGGGCGGCGAACGCCCCGTCTATCTTACTATTCTACTATAAAAGCTGTATATTGAAAATACTCTATTGGAAACTGCATAAACGTAGAAGTAAAGATTTCAACGAGCGCCACAAATTTTTAACACAATCAATTTCAACTTCCCTTTCTTCTTATCTCACTTTAATGATGCTATTGATAAGTTTAGCAAGTGTCATCAATACAGTTTAATATAATACATAATTTCATTAAAAACGAGTAAAATATAAAAACAAAAATCCAATCACATTTAAGAGCTCGCAATTTTATTAACTTAATTCATCCGCAAGTCTCCAACTCAAATGAAGACGAGAACAAAAGACAAATTTTAGAAGTAAATTCAGAATTGCATTTAAACTTTGAGCTGGTGAAACAAGATGAACTCAGATCTACCTATCACACCTAGGCCTTGAAAGTATAAAATGAAAGGCTGGAGTAATTAGAGATGAAAAGAAAAGTGAGAGAGTAAAAGTTGGGAGACATTGCCGGTGCAGGTGCGAGATTTAAAACTTAGTGACAACTTGCAAGTTAACAGTTGACACAAACGACGCCAAAGCCTCAAGCACAGTTTAACTTTAGCTTTAGAGATATTTTCATTACGCGAAGCAGTTGATGGGCTTGTAGCTTGTACTAACTGACAGATTACTTTGTTTAACACAAGACAGACTTGTGAAAACTTTTAGTATTCCTGTACGCTATAAATGTATGTAGAGACTTGACTATAGAACCATTTTAGTATGATGTTATGGAATGGTAGGTAGGGTAGTAATAATCTGACTAATGTCATTGTTCAGGTTTGGCGATCTGCCCAGCGATACTGCAACTATTGTTACTACCAGCGTGTCCGGAGTCACCGCGATATCTACTAATCACCCGCCAGTGGGAGGAGGAGGCTCGACGAGCTCTAAGACGACTACGGGCCAGTAATCAGGTATGTATAGTCGCTGTTGATGATTTATTAGTTTATTTTGTTGGTAATACTACTAATACTTGTCCTATCTAGGTTGAAGAAGACATTGAAGAAATGCGTGCAGAAGAACGAGCGCAGCAAGCAGAAGCATCTATTTCGATGAGAGAACTTCTATGTTCTCCAACGTTACGCGCTCCACTACTCATTGGCGTCGTCATGCAGTTATCCCAACAACTCAGTGGCATCAACGCAGTAAGTGGCTTAGACATACGAATTATACATAAGCGATCTTCCAGGCTAATCTGGCAGTATCTCTCATTTCTTAATATGGAATCTAAAGCATTAGGTAGTTCATGTAAAGGTAGCTCAAGATGCACCATTCTATTGTCATCTCAGGTGTTCTACTACTCCACCTCGCTGTTCACTTCTTCGGGCCTGACGGATGAATCTGCAAAATTCGCGACAATGGGTATCGGAGCCATCATGGTCGGCATGACCTTAGTTTCCCTACCACTCATGGACCGCACTGGGAGACGGACGCTGCATCTCTACGGCCTCGGGGGAATGTTCATCTTCTCTATTTTCATCACCATTTCATTTCTAATAAAGGTGTGTCATGTAATATTGAGGTTGGTAACACTATTCTGTATGATGAAGAAAAAATTATGATTAGATTCTACATCAATATCCTTTTTCAAATTGAAGTAAATAAAAAACTACAGCAAGTAATTATCGGCTAAGATAAACATTCTACAAAACTATGAAATTATCATTTTTGAAGATCTCTTCTGATAAAATTTTAATACTGAACAATAGTGTTACGATTAAGTATTTAATCTAATTTAGAATAAGTAGGGCCAGTGTCGCACTCGTGACGTTGGCCTCAAATGTGTTCCTTGCGAGACGCCGCTATTACGTTGTTTCCTCAGAATATCTGGATGAATTTTTGTACTATTTACTTTCATTAATAATATACTACGGCATTAGCCAAGGAACACATTTAAATATTGCTTTGGCACGCTTTCTCATCGCTTTCTCCACCTTCTATCTATACAAATGTTCTACTACCAATACTTCATTGTCTACTTTCTATCATCCCCCAATTGGTTGCTCGATCTCTTCCAAATCAATTTATTAAATTATTATTCGTCTCTTATTTCGACTTTTAGATATCTATAGAATTATTTATTTCTGTTCACAAGACGATTTGTGTGACACATTCTAATGTGGTTAATTGGTTAATGTAAAAATGACTACTACAGTCATTTTCAGGTTTTAATTTCAACAAAAAAATAATCAGTGAAATCGGTCCAATCATTCACGCGGTGATGCCGTGACCAAGGGATAAGGGGATTCATTTTTATATAAATAGATTAAATATTGCAACTTTAATAATAACAATATTGAAATTTACCTTGTTGACTATCTGGATCATAAAAAAAATTTCAAATTTTTTTTTTATATCTTCATTTAAAGAAATGACAACAAATTCAGTGATCCGTGTGGAGTAATGTAACAGCTAACACATTTTTTGGATTGTGTCATTCAATTCGTCAGATGTTGAATAGAATGTAGCGTTGAATTTTATATTTAAAATTATATTTTCTATATAAACTTACTTGATCTTTAGTAACTATTACATTTTCTCATAGTACCTACCTTTTAGTATAGAAACACTTTTGCATGCACCCCATCTTTAATCCCTGGTTTATTTCTCACACACTGTCATTTGCTTCATCGGGTATATATGTCTCCAATGGTCTTAATATCTGTTATTGTGTTCAGCAATTCATTGTCATCAACATCCGTTGTTGACAGTGGTTTGTTCAAAGTAACAGAAATTAACAATCATTGAGACACATATACTCGTCGCTTCGCTAGCCCTCCCCCCTTCTTCGACTTTCCTGTTTCCGAAACCGGACTCTCGGTAGGAAAGCATTGTAAATAATGGGAATAAATTCTCAAATATAAATGTTAGGAACATCACTCACAAAGCACTAAACACTATTTTTGTTGACCACAAAAATGTGGCAGAAATTCACGGGGAGCTCAGCGCACGCGTTTTTAAATGAAGCGAAATTTATAATCACACGAACACTGCTCAAAAGCAGGATGGCACTTATCACCAGCATTCGCAGTACATACGATAGATGGACGACACTACGCTGCCAGCACTCAACAACTGAGTCAGAACTCCACGCATCGCGTGGAGCACGGACGGTCACACGGACAGACTAGTGTGTGATGTGCATTTATGTTTGTGGTTTATTTCATCATCCGGTCGGCGACGGGAAAGGACACCATTTCTATCCCCTGATAGGAGTTCTTCGGCTATGTGCAGGAAATGATCGATTGGATGAGCTACTTGTCCGTGGTGTCGACGCTGAGTTTCGTGGTGTTCTTCGCGGTGGGACCCGGCTCCATTCCCTGGCTCATCACTGCCGAGCTGTTCTCGCAGGGCCCTCGTCCTAGCGCGATGGCTATCGCCGTATTAGTTAATTGGATGGCCAATTTCGTTGTCGGAATCGGCTTTCCTAGCATGAAGGTAGGTCGCTGTTTGTGTGTTTGCCCAACAATGTGTGTAGGATTCCAATTGCCATCCGTTAATTAATATTGATACAGGCACTCGGATCTTCTAATTACGGTCAGTCATATTTGCTGTCAATATTGATTCCAATCAAGTAATAACGAAATTGAGGGTCGGAGCTAATCCGTGGGCAAACAGATTACTACGTATTCCTTAAATTTCGGTTAACAATGACCAACGAAATATAATGAGTTATATTCTATTTCTAGTTGCGTACAATATTAACCATTTTTGTTTTTCAGGCACTACTGGAAAACTATACATTCCTGCCTTTTAGTGTATTCCTTGCAATTTTTTGGATATTTACGTATAAAAAAGTTCCTGAAACAAAAAATAAGACCTTCGAAGAGATTTTGGCACTGTTCCGGAATTCCAACGGGAGGTAAGAGACGGCGTTTGTTTGATTGATATGTTTTGATTATTACTGGCACTGACTGTGTCCTACCATTTACATGACACATGATTCATGATTTTCCTTATTATCACGACACGGCACGAACCCAGACTGGTGCTGGTCATTCATGAGCACGCGATGCACGTGATGTTTGTATGCCATTATGTACATACCACTGGAACGAACGGTGTTACCCTTTGTTACCGAGAGGGCTGCTGAACTACGCCCTACCCACTGTGTTTCAGATTTCAATTGTGTTGAACATGCCACATCCATTATTTACACATTAATACAGTCAGTACAAACGGGTAAAAAAATCAATTGTCTCTTAAGAATAATTGATTGAACGTTTTACGAGCTGGGGATCCAAATCTCTGTCTCAAATCGTAGATTCACTCTAATTATCCGTATTTCAAAAATAAATTACGTGTAGAGTCAAAAAATAATACAAAAGAACACTATAAAAAAATACGAGAAACAAGTAAGTTAGAATCAACAATAATAAAAAAACTACATGATCAAAACACTGTCGAAACTAAACAAATGTGTCTATCATCATGACGAATGATGATCAAATAAATGTTTGAAGAATGAAAATCATGAAAACATGGGGGTATTCACATAATCGGTCAAAGGGGATGATTGGAGACTGTGTGCAGGGACAGTTTTCGCGACAGCCGCCTCTACGGGAGTATGATGAACTGCGTGAACGCGTTGGAACAGCAGCTGCCACCCCCGCCTCCCCCCGCCCCCGTTGACGAGAAACACGATTCGCGTAAGTACCACGCTTTATGTCACCGCATTCACATCACTATGACGCCTACATTTACATAGCAAGGAGAAGCCATAAATGGAGTGAACATTCCCATTTTATAGACATTCCGCGACTGCAACGCTATCTTTACGACTTTCATCAGTCTGAAGTTGCATTTTTATTAAAACGTAACAATTTTCGTATCTATCCTCCATTTGTTGTCTTCTCCGAGAATAATATTTGAAAAAATAATAATTGTCTTTATGATTAGCCATAATTGACTTTAAATACAACAGAACTACATCCTTATTAAAATATTACTAATACTGAATTTACAGCCATTTATATGAATTTTGACACCGTATGAAACACTTCATTGAACATGCTTTTGTACTTCACAGTCATCGATGTACATACATATGTATATGTATACCTGTGTTGGCATGTTCTGTTGTTATGAAATAATGTGTTGATGTCAGTTCTCTAAACGAGGCAATTTTGATGATGCATCATGTTATGGGTTGTATTTTGTATAGAAGTGTGGGAGATTATTCGTATAGTTGTATTTCATCAGATAGAATTGCCTTGTGAGACGCTCGTGCTCAGCTTATAAGCCTTTTGCATTTGCCATTTTTATCTATATGCTATGACCTATCTTCAGTGCTTATAATTTCCATAGTACTTCCTTTTACCCTTTATTATTTAGTAACGACAATACCTTCTAAAGTTGTCATACGTTTTACTTTTGAACGATTTTCTTGACCTTCGTAGGTTTTATTATGTTATGTTTGTTAATTCTAGACTTCTTGGTGTGGGCAAAGCTATGTGTTCTGTCAGACTGGATGTGTTATTTTATGAAAATTTATATAATGGGGCTACCTCAAGTGATTTGGCAATGATTTCAGTGGTGCTACATAGTTTATATGAGTTATATTTACCTTCATTAGCGCAGTTGTAGATGCCATTCCTTAATCACCTTTACCTTATAAAGAAAATATGCATTGATAGTATTAACTCCGCTCCTGTATCAGTACAGTTTCACTCGCCACTCTTGTAGAAGAAAAATTCCTGGCTTTTGTTACGGTCGACATGTGTGGTCACCTACTTAAGTAGTGCCAGTTAATTTGAGGTATCCCTGTGTGTTTATATGAACTGGATAATATAACACATTTTTCTATGATAGGGTGTTCACATTGTGCCGACAACACGTCACATTGGCCCGCTGATATATCGGCAGACTTCAAAATTTCACTGAAAAGAAACAGCCGCTGAGAAGAAATGGAATAGGTTATTAACTTATATCTAGGATACTCTTGGGTTAAGTACCATCATTGCTCATTGAGCCTAACCAGGTATTGATCGTAAGGCGTAGAACAAGCCAGACAAGCCCTCAGCTGTCATAAAAATGTTCTGACCTGTTCTTACGCCGTCATGCAGTTATTTACTAAACAATATTCCATCCGCTTGCAAGACTAGGTCGTCTTCTATTCCGAATCATCAGTCGACTTAAAAGCGCAATATAAGATTACCTGACCACTGACTGATGGTCAGATAAGAAAATGATACCCCCTGAGTTACATGCCTATTGGAAATATTAAAACCTGAACAAAATTATCACTTGAGTCTCCCTCAAGGCTGCAAGTGATAAACGTTCGAAGTTATAAGCGCATATCTGACTGGTACTTGTATCATGTCTGAATATGTCTGGGATACGTTAGTGCTGACAGCATACTAAGCTCACAACAAAGAATTCTTAGTAGAACCTGGATGAATTATGAATAGCGTTAACGTTGTTGAGTTGGAGTGCTGAGACGAGAGGGTCCTGATGATAACCAAGCTATGCATTTCAGTATCGGAGCAGTCTTCGGGTGGGGGGGAGGCGGGCCGGCCGCCGCCGCCGCTGCCTCCGCCGAGGTTCCCCGCCACAGGCAATGTCTGACAATGGGAGACCGCTGCGAGGGCGCCGCTAGTCGCCCCAATCAAGGCCGCCGCCAGCTTCTTGTTTCATGGGCTCAGACGTCAGGCCGGCGGCCGTGCCACCATTACTACCACACAACAAATGTTCTAAATCGATGTGATTAGGTATAAATCGAAACTAGTAAATAAGTCACGGCGTAAATTAAACATACATAGTTCTTTAGTCGTCATTTTATGACATAATTTATGAAAAAAAAAATGCATAGGTACCCTGTAAAGTGCCATCGTTTCTTGTACCCATTTTAATTAGATCTTCTCATGATGAATTTTATTGAGTACTTGGGGGTCTGGGGTTCGGTAATTACGGTCTACAGATTATAGCTTCCGATACCTATTTATAAATTTACTAATAAGAATGTTGCGACGGCGCGCGCGTGGGGTTCAATATAAAATAGTAGATTTTTATCGAGTACTAGAGAGTGGGCTGGTCAGACGTGAGAGAAGGGCACGCGTGTTTCTGGCTGGCTGTACGCTGTACGCACTGCTCTGAGCCAACTAATCCTATGTAGAGTCAAACACTTAAAATGGGTACGGTGACTGTACTTGTGCTGACGTCACACGTGAGGCGTGACGTCACGAACATGTATAGAAACATGTAAATACATGCTGTGACTTTATTGTATTGTTGATTTTTATTAAATTTATCTAAATATATATTAATTATATTATTTTACAAACGTTTTTATTATCTTTTTACTCATAAATTATTGTTATATACAAATGAATATGAAGTCATATCCAGATGACAGATATTATTAGTTAATATACACAGATGTAATAGAGAGATATTAATGAACAGTAACAGTGAACAGATTGCACTAGTCTGCATTCGGGAATTGATTACGATAAAGGTGAAAGTATATCTGTACGGTACATAGCAAAATATAACCTGATATACACGATATTATGTTGGATTCTAAATATGTTCACATTCTTTTGTAGCATAAGAGATAATAAGATAAATTATTATCTTTTTAATTGAAGAATAAAATGAATAGCGTTATAGTAAGTTATACAATTTTGTGGAGACTTTAATAATGTAATGCTTTTAACTTATACGCCCCTAGAAAGAGAAAAATTAATTACTTATTAGTTAGGTTTCAGTAGTTACTACAGGGTTATAGTCAATTTGTGCGTCCGTGCGTTCGTATACTGCTCAATTCAATATTATTAAGACTAAGATGATCTTTAGTGTGTCGTGATTGGTGCAGTAAGCACGGCCTAATATTAAAAAATGTGTGTTGTACGTCGCTGACGATGACTGCTATCATTTAACGCAATAATTGGCTCAAATGATTTGTCATCTCGTGTATGTGTGGTCTCGAGTAGGTCGCGTGACGCGCGGCTAACGCAAAACTCGCAATCGAGGGATATTAAATAAATCGATAGATTTTAGGGTGTCTTACACGGACGCGCGGCGCCCGCCTCTACCCGCGCGGTCGCGACCGTGTCACACATCCCGGGATCGTCTTAATTCTAAATTAACTATAAGACTAAAATATTTTCCAAATAAAATAATAAGAAATAATAATAAAAAATATAATTGTACAATTTGCAACAATAATGTCATTTTTAATTTATAAGCAATAAGTAGATGGGAATGTAACTTTTAATTGGTGTAGCATTCGACATTTTTGTATTGTAATAAGTCACAGTAGATTTTTTGTAAGTTATATTTTTATGAATAAATGTTATTATTAGAGACCGGATAATATGCATTTGCATATTTGCATATGCATTTGCATATTTAAGCGATTTTTAAGGCTAATAGCATATTTTTACTAATATCTAGTGATGATGCATATTATTGCTATAATTTACAGTAGGTAGGTATTTTTCGAGCGTAGCGCACTCGCCAGCCGCGCGTATTTTCTTTTATATTATGCATGTCATTATTACTTTGATTGTTGACACGCTCGTGCTCGGATAATTCACCTGCAGTTTAAAGTTTTTGTGTGTGTACAATGCCTCCCGAGAAAAAAAGTGTGTCTTCGTGGATAAGTGAATTTCCTGGAACATTTACTTACGACGGAAATGTTTTATATTGTCGAGTTTGCGAGTTCTTAATAGTTTTTTTTTATTTTATCAAATAACAATAAATTAAAAAGATACATACATAATAAAGTAAAACATAAATAAGACAAGTATTTACTAACAAAATACTTAAATCTAAAGGAATAATATTTACAAAACAAAAAAAAACTCATTTAATGTTGCATATTCTGCCAGTTTTCGTGCATATTTTAGGCATTTTTCATGCATATTTGCATGCATATTTCAAGCTTTTTATGTTGCATATTATCCGGTCTCTAGTTATTATTATGTTAGTGGGCGGCACACGATGAGATCGGTGCTGCCGACGGTAGGGCCAACGGGTCAGAAATTATTGTCGCTAGACCTCATAGCGGATGCTATTGGCGATAGCAATAGAGACTGTGTCTCGAAATCAAATAGTATAAATTAAATTAGACTTAAAGCAACGTTTATTGGTTGTTCCGATATTTCGGTGTTATTATAGTTTTACGGTCGAAAGCCCGAAGATTGTTCGAAACCGAAGTCCGCGCAAATTTAGCACAAGTTTGTACTAAACAACGCACAAACGAGGTTTCAGTTTACACACGCATATGGAATGAAACAAGCGTACTGATTTGTAATTAATTTTTGTAATTTACTATTTTATATAATTTAGGTTACATTTGGTAAATGTAACATCGCCATTATGCCGTGTCACACTAGACTGAGAAGTACATTAAAGGGACGTAAATTTAATTTATGATTGAAATAATAAAGTCAATAAATAATAAACAATTCAATAATTATTCGTAAATGTAACATTACCGTCGAATTAAAGTTAATGTATCGTTACCGATCAGTGCGCATCACACTACTTTAGTTACATTTCTGAAGGCTGTGATCTTTGTGAATGTGCACACAATAATGACCGTATCATTAGGTAAGTTTACACTCAACGACCCGTGTGACCATGGAATATGTTTCCGTTTATCTTCGGGCAAGCGATAGCGAGTAACTTGTAAATAAATTTAATATAAGTACAAATCTGTACAAGATTCAGTCGAGCCAATGCGACGGACGCAACAACTTTACCATTTTGAATATTCTATGTTACATTTTCAAATAATATATTGCGTTGACTCTTGATAATATAGGCAGAATTGTAATTCATTGTTGCGTTACATTGTTGAACATTCAAATATTTAATATGAGTTGAATTATCCCTCTAGCAAGAATTATCGTTGAACCTAAGATATTTATATAGAATCTATGTATAGTCAAATTATTATAGATGAATATTAGTTTCGTTACAAGGCTTATATGATTATTTATATCATGTTGCGAAAAATTAGATAAAATCGAAGTGGTAAGCATTGGATCGATTGAACTTAAAGCCCATTACTATTATAACCAATCTAAATAACTTTTATATAATTGTAAAAGCATTGTCTAATAGAACTTGAGACGTACGAATTGACGAATAAATACCCTGGTGAAAGATATTTTCAAATTGTGCAGTAATACAATGCAATGTAAGCGTCACTTGGTTCTTGTAATTTTGGCAGGCCTCCGCAAAGTCAACTCTGGCATAAATTATTTCATTAACGTTGCAGTACAACTAATCCTACAAAGGATTAAATACAATACGATGAGAAAAGACTGCAACATGGCTGTAATTTTCCTGCAATTTGAACTGAGGCGTTTCGATGTATTAGATTGTAAATCTCCCAGAGCTACCCCCTGCGTCCTAAATAGTATTACGTAGCAATCAAAATTGTAACATGTTCCACTTTCAATGCTGTAATATTATATGAAATACATTACGCCAGGGTTGCAGTACTAACAATAAAGCGATGGAATAGTACGCAGTTACAAATATTTCGTCCGTAGGTACTTTAAGATAATTTGTACAATGTAAAAGAGTGGTTAGCAACTCGATTCGGAACAAAGGTATATAACAGGATATGATTGATTTTGGAATTGATTTTTTAAAGTTGGTTATATACATTATATTATTATCATCTACATGAGATATTATTAATTGTTAAGGGATCGACGGTATCGGCTTGATTCGACGGGGACACAGAAAGCACTAGAGATGTCCAGTTGCTAATGACTCTTTTGTTAGTTAGTCATTTTACTGCAGATATCATCAGCTACGAGTATATTATGAGTGAAGGACGTTTCGTTTAGTGTTATTGGTATTTTGATACTGATCTCGAACCAATACCGCGGTAGAAGATTTAGAGTGATAGTGATATTTTTTTATATTGATGTAAGTGTCTGTAGTAGAGTGACGAACTGTGGAGCACATGTCCGAGTTGGTTGTAATGTAATGGGCACCGACCACATGAAGTGTGTGTAACGTAGGTGGTTCTGTCTCGTGGCGACGATCGACGTACGGACGTACAGATCAACGAACGCTAGTATATGCCCTGTTACTTTCTAAAAAGCACTCTCCGCAATTTATGCCACTATTAAATATCTGATGCGTTTGAGTTTCAATAAAAGGAGGATACTCCGAACTTGTACAAAATAAACTTGTAAAATTTTATTGGAACTACTTGTTATAAAAACATAAAAAATATACAAAAAAAATATATTTCTGTCGTTTCCTTTCATATCCTATAAACTTACCAAACAATGTTTACCTAATTAACTTCAAAATTATCAAATACATACACAAACAAATGGCAGACACAATTTATCACAAACATTAACGTAAATGTCAGCGGTTGTATCCAAACTCCTCACAGTCTACCAATTACATTGAAAAATCCGCTCTTTGAAAAACCACTTAAAGCGAAGAAAAATTAAAGTCTAAATTTCTTGAATCTACATGCATACCACACGTGACCATCAACTATTACCAAAAACACTAGAAACAGAAGAAAACTGTACAAGAAGAATTGCAAGCAAGTACCTTTTTATCATAGATTTTTCTTGCC